CTGGTGTCGCCAACACAACTTTGGATTTTTTTGACAACAGGATGGCCTACACAGCACCAGGCTTGCTGGCATCAGACAGGATTCGCCTTTCGCAAAGGGGAAAGAGGGTCTTTGCCCAGGAGCTTGCAGGGCTAATTGGCAGGGCTTGAAAGTAGATGTGAAGGTTGAGGGGGAACATTATCAGGCTTGCTGGTGACAAACTGTGGGGGGATATACAATGGTTGGAGGGATGGGGTGCTAGTATGGGCCTTCAGCCTGTTGCCTAGAGAGTGCTGAGGACACTGCAGCACAGTCAAAGTCTTGCAGAGATGAGCTGGGAGCTCCTGAGGGAGTAGGAGCCAACAAGGAAGCTTCTGTGAAACACCCCAAGGGAAACAAGGGATGTTCCTTTGTGAAGGTGACACGGCCAACAGCCCAGATGAAGTGCCTGTACACGTGCATGCAACATGGGAAACAAACAGGAAGAGCTGGAAGCTGCTGTGCTGCTAGAGAGCTACCATCTGATTGCCCTTACTGAAACTTGGTGGGATGAATGCCATGACTGGAGCATGACTATTTATGGTTACAGGCTGTTCAGAAGGGACAGGTGGGGAAAAATAGGTGGAGGCATTGCCCTCTACATCAAGAAATCGATACAGTGTGAAGAGCTGTCCCTGAAGAATAGTCATGAGCAGGTGGAAAGCCTGTGGGTAACAATCAGAGACAGAGGCAACAGAAGGAACCTGGTTGTGGGTGTCTACTACAGGCCACCGGATCAAGGGGAGCCTGCTGATGAAGCCTGCTTCCTCAAGCTCCAGGAAGCTTCGCACTTGCTGAGGGTCTTCAACCACCCCGACATCTGCTGGAAAAGTGGCGAGCTGTAGGCAATCCAGCAGATTCCTAGAAGGAATTACTTTTTAAGAGGATTACTTTTTAAGCCAGGTAATTGACACCCCTACCTGAGGGGACGCAATACTGGACCTGATGCTCACCAGTGCAAGTGAGCTCATTGGTGACGTCAAGACTGGAGGCAGCCTGGGCTGCAGTGGTCACGTATTGGTGGAGTTCGCAGTCCTGAGGGTTGTGGGAAAGGCAAGGGGCATAGTTAGGCCCCTAAATTTTAGGAAAGTCAAATTCCAGCTCTTCAAGGATTTAGTCAGTAGGACCTCCTGGGAAACAGTCCTCAGGGACGGGGGGGCAACTCCTCTTTGGCTCAAAAGTACCCAGTGATTTGGAAAATGCTAGTATAGCTATCATTTATTACTTGAAAATCTGTGATTATTGTACCATACGAAGTATCTTTTATTTCAGCGCACTATGAAGAAATACATGTACTTACTCCAGACTATACGGAGTTTGAAACTTGACTTGCAACTTAAAGAACTTTCCTTCCTCTGAAAAAAAAATGCCACTAAAATATTCGGTCTTCGCTAAAGAGCATGGCATTTTTAACTGTTTGAACCATTTACAAGAAAATTGAGTAATGTGAGACATGTTTTAATTGTCTTGAAGATTTCTCTGTGCCACTTACAAATTTTAGTTAAAATGACTTCCCCAAAAGAAATACCAGAGAACTGACAATTCTGTGACAGCGCAATTATGTAGGTTGACCTGGCAAAAAAAAAAAAACAAGAAAAATGGTGGCGAAATGCTTTCCTTGTTTCTGTACTTAAGGGTTCAATATATATTGAAACTTTTTGTTAGTGACTTTTGCATAAAAAGCAGTTTGACTGGCCAGAGTACTATTTTAGTATTTGTACTGCGTCAGCACTTCAGATTATGCACTGTAAAGGCTTGTGAACCTCCCAAAACACTGGCTTAAACTGTCGCATAAAAGATTTGCTTAGAAACAAATCCTTACTCTGTTTATAGCATTGAAAGAATAATTCTATATATTTGCATTAGGAGATGCAAAAAACCCAATCACTCCTTTGTGCCTCTAGTAATGGGTTTATATCCTTTGACTTTATATGAGCAGTTGTTTTGTGGTGATTTTTTTTGTTTGGTGGTTCTTACTGGAAGTTTTGGTAAGAGAAAGTTGAAATGGTCAGCTAAGTGCTTCTCCAGCCAGACTGGTTAATACTTACTGAGATTCTCTCTTATGTGTGATAAGCAGTCATTTTTAGTGAATTCATTAGAAACATACATTCTTGATTTTTAACCTCATTCACTAGTGAGGATTCTAGAAAAATGTTACACAATGCCACACTTATATTCCAGTTTTCACTGCAGTGTTTACTAACATTTTAAATTTGCAGGAGACAGCAATAATCAGCTAACAAAACTGAGTGATGAAGACCTCATTTTTGAAATTTCTTTCATTGTCTCATTAGTAACACTTTAAAGTGAGACTACAATACTTGTAACATTTCCACTCTTCAGAGTTCATGGGTGCTTGTTTACCTAGGGTGCTTTTTCAAATGAAAATACAGTTCCAGATTCACTTTTTCTCTTGCAGTAAATCTGGTTGGAAAGGTGTTTAACTTTCACCCAATACAGTCAGTCTGCAAAAAACTGGTTTCTGTTCAGTTTCCTGTTTGTGATGTATGTCTGGCCCTGTGTACACTGGGATAACTTTTCATTTTGAGGCACGGCCACCAACAGTGCAGCAAAGGATACTGGCTTCTTGTAGCAGGGCTGAGGGATGGATTTTGAAATCTCCCCCTCCCGTCAAATCCCTTCCTGCTGCCTCTCCGCCCCCCCAGTCAGATTTTATTTTAAAATCCATTTTGACACACCATTCTGCTGGGAAGGATTCCAAGAAAGAACACTTAGCAGTTTCTTTGGCCTCCTTTAAAATCTTCTTGCACTGTATAGCTCAGAAGAGATAGGGAAATCTCAGTCTGTTTGCCAGCGTGCATCTCAAAAATCCTGTAAGTTAATGTGTGTAGAGAGGGATTTTCATGAAGCGATAAATGTAATTAGCTCTTGTTGTCTCCGCCATAACTTAAAGGTGTTTAAAAGCCTCACAGTGATCTTCTGTTTGAAGTCTAGGGGCAATACCCGTATTCCCTTACTCTGGAGAAACCCTACCCCTGTGAGAGAAGCTTTTGCTTTAAAATTCTTTTGGAGTTTACGAAAAAAATGTCTTGGTTATCCATTATACAGATAAACAAGGGATATGTAAAACAGGGTGATGTTGTTAATTTAAAACTGTGTAAATCTCCACATTGAATTGCAGTATTTTTGAAACATACAAGTAATACTTTACTATACCCACTTGTTCCACTGCTGTTTTAGCCATACAGGCTACCCAACCCCCCCGCCCCCAGAAATTGAATGAGGTTCTTTTACTTCTGTGTTGTATTGTGTCCCGGTTTTAATGGCAGTCATATGAGCCTTTTAGCAGCGTTAATCACTATTTCTGACTAAACATTTGGATTCTTACTTAAAAGAGAAGAGATTCTATTTACCAGGTGCAGAATGCAGCACTGGTTAAAGTATTTTTCAAATCAGATAGACAGAGCAAGCATACAGGGTTGTAGGTGGGGGGAAAAAAAGTAATCTTGGGTCTTAATTTAAAGGTTCTTAGATATTATGGTTTAATTGCAGCAGCCTTGTTCCTTAGTGGATGGAATACTGTAAAATAAACAAACGAAAAACTAACACACACATCCACCCCCCCCCAAAAAAAAAAGAGAAACCAAAAAAACCAAAAACCCCCAACCCTCCCATGATTGCCAGGTTTATTTAGGTTCTGCATAGCATAGCTAAAAATTTACTGAAGAGCCCTTTCTGGCAGGGAATAAAAACAAAAAGAAAAAAAAATCCATGTAATGCAAATGCTTTACTATAATATTTCTTTGAATTTACTCCCAGAGAAATACAAGTTTTATTTAGACATGATTTCTACAACTGTAAGGCAAACATGACCACCAAAAATACTTCAAACTGTGATTCTTATATAGTCGAAATAATACAAGGGTGCTGTGTATTGTTTATATCAGTAAAGTACAAAATAATTATTAATATGCAAATAAATATACAGTCTACAATATTTAAAAATACAAATATATAGACAAAGTAAATATAGTTACAAAACTACAATAAAAATTAAATATACAAAAATAGCAGGTTATAACATCTACAATACCTGTTCAACAGTCTGTGAAGCTACTAAATCAGAGAAATATTCAAATACAAAATCTAAAAAGAACAAGTGCACAAACCAAATATTGACAGGCACTGGGATGATGTCTTCTGTCTGTGTTCAACTTTTGATCCTGTCTAATCTTGCAGCATAAGTTAGATAAAAATTAGTACCTTGAGGACAGAGATTCTTTGGAGGAGCCATTTGTTTTGCAGGAGGAGGAAATGGATTAATTGGTGGTGCTTTATCTTCTGAGTCACAATTAAAACATGTCCCAAATGGTGAAGGATTGCTGTCTCTTACCATAGGTTACTTGGTATGAGCTGCCTCACATCGCATCTTGCAGCAAGTGTAAACAGACCAAAATCATACACTAGGGACAGAACAGCTAGGTGACTACTTCCAAAGCTTGAGCATTTAGGGTTATTTAAAATTATTACTTTTACAAGGTTTTTTGTTATGTATAGTCCATAAGCTTTTCTTCCCATTGTGACTTGTCTATTTATATCTGCCACATACATAAAGAACTTGATAAGTGGGAAGAAAGAAACTCATTCTGTGCAGAAAATGTAAAGCATGCAGGCACCTTCTGAATTCTGTTTGAAGCTAGAGTTACAAGACTTGAACTTCAGAGGAGTGGAAATATCATCACAACAAAAGTATTTTTTTAAGTGAATTGGTATGGGAAAAAAGTTTCTTCAAATTACTGTACCTTTATTTCAGTCTTGAGTAGTTTTTATGACGATGTATATTTTCTTTCAGAAAACTGAGATGTGGGAGAGCGAGAAGACTGAAGAAGACATGGAAGAGTATATCTGGGAAAACAGCTGCTCTCAGAAAAATGCCTTGGATACACTACTTCGAATAAAAGCTTCAGAGAATGTCAGTAATGTAACTGAGGAAGAGCTTCTTGCATCCGAAGTGGTTAAGAATTACAGGAACTCTGTAATTGCACTTAAAAATGAAGGTGAAACAGAAAATAACATGGCTCAGTATAAAGAATCCGTGAAGAAACTATTGAATATACAAGCATTACCGTGAGAGCAGACTCTGCAGGTACATCTGATTATTACAGAAACATTAAACTACTATGTTAATATTTCTGTATGATATGGACATATAATTATTCAGAACCTTAACCAAAAATATGGAACTTGATGATGAGTTAATTTCATTAGTAATCAGATTTTTCTTTACTGCTGGATTTTCTTGTAAACATAATTTTCCTGTCCGTGAATCTTGTTCTTTGAATAAAGTACATTTTGAGTCATATTGGTGACTTGAACATTCTATTCTGTGCTTCCTTAGCTTGGGAAATCCTGGTTCAGTTCTCTGCTTAACCACATTCTGACTTCTCACACAACTTCTTGTGACACATAACTTAGAGCAACAGTGTCAAAACCAATGAAATGAATAGGCTTCAGTTTGCAAGAAGAGTCTGAAAGTTGAGAGCTCTAAACTTTCTAAATGCTTTTCAAATGTCACTCAGTTTTCTTTGTTTTTTTACTAGATTTTTTTTACTCTATCTGTCCTCCCTGTCTGTAAAATAAAGATAATGTTGCCTAAGTAGTTTAACTTTTGGAGAGGTGTTGAAGCACACTGAGCAGTGTGAGGTTCTCAGTTGTCATCATGAGGGCTAACAAATACCCTAAGTAAAAATACGTGTCTCTAAAATGATGAAATAAAATAAGGTAGAAAATGGGGTGGTAGGGGGAAGGTGAACTAGCAGTTATTTACAGGATACCAAAGTACATGGGAAAGGAAGAACGATGAAAGTTGCTGAAAGTGAGAGCTGATGAGTAGTGAGGCAAGTATACAGCTTAAATAGGAATGGACCGAGTCTTGGTACCCTGAGGCCTGATGAGTTGTCCCTTGAAGGTACCCAGGCTCTTCAAGGAAAAAAGCGTTTGTAGCACCCAGCTCACTGCTGTGAAGCACAGAGAAAGAAATGATGTGGATGTTTGTCTTATGTTCGATGATTTGTATTTGAAAGGAATTGATTTGAAACTGGAATCACAGGCAACTTCTATTGCCTTCTCATGGTTAAGAAAAAAAAAAAACACACCTTTAAAATATCAGCTTGAAAGGACATAAATAACTGTATTCTTGCTTTTAGTATACCTTCTTGGCTTACTAAGATTTCAGCTTAGAGAGAAAGCCTTCATTTTCTGGAAGGGGCAGAGGGAGTTTTTATTCATCAGACTTAAGGATTCTGCATACCCATAAAAGAACCTAGCATGTGGCCCTGCCAGCAACTCTTTGAGAGGAAACGGCATAAGAATGAGGACATTGAAAACTGAAGAGGAATTGATTTCTGCAGTGTTCTATGTAGCTCGACTCACTCACTGCTAGGATTTCTCACTGTCTGTTTTGTGTTTGCATACAGCCAAAGAGTGTGTGTATTCCCATTTCCAAAACCTTGTCAGTCTTGGAAGGATTCTTCTTAGGTAGAGATTGTTTTCATACAGCAGGAGTCTGAGTTTAATGCAGCTTTTTATTTGCTATGAGAATTTGCCAGAGCTGTAGCTAAGATTGGAAAAGCTCATCCTATAATCCCAATTTTGCATTTACCAACTTGGCTATTTAGTGGTCCTTCCTCTTAGATTTGTATTAATGTTAAGTTTGAGCAGAAGCTTAATATGCGGAAAGTTTTGTCTGTTAAAGGTTGCTCCTTTATTCAGGGATAGTGGGGATAATGTTTAAAATTCTCATTTGAAGTAGTACATCTGTGTAATTCTTAATCTTCTTTGAACAGCCGTGAAACCAGAATTACTGAGGAAGTAACTGCAGTTTGACTCGGAGAATGGTATGGATGGCCGAGTTGTGCCTGGCTTTGTTCCCAAGGCGGTTTGGTTCTAGTATGAACACAAGAGAAAGTTGTTTCCTTACCTAGCTTTGTCAGTGCTTGCAGAAGGACTGGCACAGCTAGCAAGCATATGTAACGACTTTCTGTTGTGCGGTGGCACGTCTTGTACCAGACCGTCAGGAGTAACGCCCTGAAATGTTTTAAGAAACCTTAAAAGCGTGTAACTACTTTCTGTTGTGCGGTGGCATGTCTTGTACCAGACCGTCAGGAGTAACACCCTGAAATGTTTTAAGAAACCTTAAAAGCCTGTAAGCTTGCTTTTCTCCATAAAGTTGTCCTTATACATTCAGGACATATGAGCACCTGGGAAAATCCTCTGTGCACCAGAAAATTCAGTTTCCCTTTACTCTTCATAGACTTTAAATGGACCTAAGCAGAACTCTGTGTGAAAGTGTTCGTTAAAATAATGGTTTGACTTTATTAATAATAATGACTAGTAGAAAGAATGGCACAGCAAGGGAAATTGATTTTTCATTTGATTATATTAGCATTTCATTAGCTTCACAGCTAATTCATGGAAAACCTACAATGCACAGGCTTCTAGAGTTCCGCTGAAGTGTTCAAGCTTAGCTTACATTCATTCTATAAATGTTTCAAGAAATACAGGCAGGATAAAAGGTGGCTTTCTCCTGAGTGCCAGGACACTCAAGTGTCTCTACCAACAATAGATTATACTGACTGGTCAAAAACAATGTTGGGGCTAATTCACTGTGTTCCCTAAACACATCCAACGCTTACCATCAGAAATTAATTGTCAAAGAGACCAGTTTTCCAGTCGTATCTGGCTTGATGACCCTATAGCTATAGAACTCTCGGCCAGCTGCCTGAGTAATCGCACAGCTGACCTCCAGCCTTGGTTTTCAACGTCATCTTCACTTCCTCTCCTTGCTAAGAAACATAGGAGCAAAGTTAAAAATCTTCGTAATCCTGTAAGTGCCTGCCCAATCAAGTTTCTAGAATCAAAGGCAATATAAACTTCAGAGTTACACTTGTGATTTTTACTAATGGTTTATATGTTAAGTACAGAACATGTGTACTGCCGTGAACTGGGTCAAAGGTAGGCTGGATGATTGTATTCTGAGCTCTGTGTCATGTTGGACGTTTCTCTTTCCGTTTTTCCGCTTCTCCCTCAAAACTGTTTGTGTTTGAGGGTGGCAGGATTTCTCTGTGATTGCATAGAATACCTAGAATGCTGGGATCTTTACTCCAGTGGGAGTCTTCCCAAACTTGATGATGTACAATATAGCACGTGTTTTTATGAGCTAAACTACACCTTTATTTTCCTGTATAATACTCTTGCAGACCATCTTACTGGAAACCTGCACTGATATGTAAAAACTGTGAAGAAAAGAGTAATAAATTTAGGTTAAGCAACTCTACAGCATAGTAATAAGTACATCCTTAGCAATGGTCATTTATTAATGTGTCATGTACATTATAATATAAATGCATAACTCTAATGTGTGTATCCCTCCATAGATACCCATGTGATCTGTTACAAGGAAGTGCTCTGTTACTTTTAAACAGCAATGTAGATCGATAACACTTAAATCAAGAACTAGGCTAGGCCCCCCGTTGTGTAAATTTGGAAGGAAAGAGGAGCAAAAAACCACACATAGTATCTAGAGGCGTCGGCTGTCTCCGCAGGTAATTCTTTTACTGGTGTTTACTGGCCAAGAGGAACTCGAGGTAGTTCATGAGTGCCCTGACCTCAGGCAACCCTGCCCATCATAGCTTGAAACTTGAGCAGGAAGGCTACTATATGTGCTTCTTTGCGGTCGCTGTTCTAACCTCCAAATAGCAGATGTCTCGTTTCAAATCCAAGCACTTAATACCCCCGCAAACTGGAAAAGTTAGTTCCTTACAGCAAGGAAAAATAAGCTGTCACCAATGGAAAAAAACCCACAGGAGTTAAGTTCTTGGCCATCTGGAATAGTTGTGATGCATAGTTTCGCTGGTGCTGTTGAGGCGACTAACCTTGCTTTTATCTCCCGTATAAACATTCCAGAGAAAGGTTGAGATCTAGCGCTTGGTCAAACTGGAAAAGAACTTGCTTTGTCAGTATTCTGGTTAATTTTGTGCATCTAGAAACTACTGTAATCGCTGGCATAAGATGTCTTTAGTAAACAGTGTGCTGAGAGTTGTGAAGTGAAACGTTCAGAGTGTCGCTAAGTGGTTTCTTGAGGTTGGTTGTCTGTGTTCGCACTTTTGCCCTTAAAGAAGGGCCGTTGAACACTAGGTGTAATCTCTTGCTCAGATTAGACAAGAATGCCTGTACGGAGATGTAATTCAGTCCTTGCCAAGCAGAGTCGGTGTTACAACTACTTGTAACTTCACCAGGCCCTAGGAACTGAATGCGAATGGCTACGTGTGAAGAACTGGTGAACCCCTACAGGTAATCTCATGGTCTTCAGTGAGCTGATGTATACTTCTGACAGCAGTTGACAATTTTTGGTCTGTTTTCATGCACAGCATTGCTACAAGTGCAAGTAAGGGTTAAAGGAACAGTTGCCTAAAAAGGGATGTACTGTCAGAACCAACCATCTTTCTGCCCGTTTCTCGTTTTCCTTTATAGTTCAAATGTACGTATGTATTTTCTTGTGTCTCTCCAAGTCTGTAATAAAATAGTCCTGCTGCTATGCTTTATATAACTCTTTTCCTGACTGTTTTGCTGTATGCCAACAAACCAAGAAGACTCTCCAGAGCATGATCTTACATATTCTAGTCATGCCATCCTGCCTCAGAAGCATTTGTGCGTGGGAGAGATACAAATTTTCACTTCTGTCTCATTTTCTTTTTCTGGTGGGTATTGAGATCCTAGTTCCATTATACGATTCTACAGAAGGTAATACTGAGAGGAAGTATCAAAGGAGCATCAAGGTGCTATTAAGTGCACCGTAGAGTCACTAATCTGAAGATGAAGATACCACGGACACCAGGGGTGACTGTGACTTGCTGCAGATCACACAGCTGATCAATGATCAGACAAAAGTTAATTTTCTGAGAGGAAAAGAAGCGAAAAAAACACCTGGTTTAAAGCAAATAGTGTATTACCTCTGACTGACTTCTATTAAAGCTAATGCCTTCTTGCAGATTTGCGTTTCTGGCATGTTGGAGTGTATCCCGTCTTGTGAAAGGATTTCTTTGCTAGTCTTTGCATTTGTAGGTATGTAACATCCCTGGTGTAAGAATAGCAAGTTTTCAACTTTTCAGTAGCTGATTTCCTTTTTTTTTAAAAAAACCAAACAGTAGTATCCATCCCTTAAGACTAGCTTTTCTTCTTTGTTCTTGAATCAAG